TTTGTGTGTGTATATATATATATATATATATATATATATATATATATATATATATATATAGTCACAGGATATGGAGCACAGAACAGGGAATAGAGTCAGTGGAATTGTAACAGCTCTAGACAATGTCAGAGGGGTAGTAGTTTGGGGAGGGGGTTATTACTTTGTGAGGGTATAAATGTCTAAGTATTACATTGTTTTGTACACCTGAAACAAACAAACAAACAAAAAAGCCCTTCACAAAAGACCACACCTTATATATGATTCCATTTACATGAAATGCCCAGAATAGGCAAATCTATGGAGACAGAATGTAGATTAGTGATAGTGTGAGGCTCAGAGGACTGGGGACACGGAGAGTGCTAATTAGGGTACAGGGTTTGTTTCAGGGGTGATGAAAATATTCTAAAATTGATTGTGGTGATGATTACACAACTCTGAATACACCAAACTTCATCAAAGTGTATGCTTTAAATGGGTGGATTGTATGGTATGGTATTTAAATATTGGATTGTAAGGTATGTGAATTATATCACAATAAAGCTGTTACATATAAATTAATAATAATCAGGTCGTCAAGAGGTGACAGCCATTGCGATAAACGGGGCTAGGACTGTGGAGCCTCAGATGAATTCAGTGTTTGGAGAGCTTACACTTGTGGAGGCCCCTGCTGGAGACAAAGATCTCCGTTCAGGAGGCAGACACCCAGTTTTCTTGAGTGGCCTCTTCTGGGCCGTATCTACTGTTTGCAATGCTCAGGTTCATTAATCCCTCTCTCGAAGACAGCATGGTTTCCTAGCTGCTGCCTTTGCTTTTACATGAGAGTGTAAAAATTAAAAAGAGTAGCAGCAGAAATCAGCCTTGAACACACCCCTTCCCTCTTCTGTAGGGCTCGCTGCGTTAGGAGGGTGGCACCGCTTCCTGTGCTGGGCCTGGCCTCTCGGTGAGGCGCTGCGGGCCCCATCTTGTATAATTATTCAAATAACCGGTTCTCGCCATGTGGCCAAGTCAGTCATGTAAAAGCAAGGTTCCATCGGGGCCTGTGGGGCTTGGTGGTCCAGATGAGTTTGATGTTCTCACTACTGTTTTCCAAGCCTCAATTTTTGTAGTGTTGCAATGACACCAGAGTTCATGAGGGCAGCCTTGGAAAACGTGAGGAAGAGGGCAGTTCCTGGATTAACCGTGGGGCTGTCTGCGTGCGCTGTGTGCAATACATGGTTAATTTAAAACTCCCAACCATCCACGCAGAGTGGGAGCTCTTATCTCTGCTTTTCAGACTTAGCAAGGGGGGAGCAGAGGGATTAAGAAGTGTGCCCAAGCCTCTACGGGTAATAGGAGGGACTGGAAAGCAGACAGCCTGACTGGGTTTGCACGGGGTGCCTCCTTGTGCAGGAGGGGCAAGCGTGTGGGTCGCAGCCAGAGGGGCCTGACTGGGAAAAGGCACTGGCGTTTCACAGTCGGCAAAACGCTGCACCCCTAGGCCTCACTTTCCGCCTTGGTAGACTGGTGGTAATAATACCGGCCATTTCCCAGGATGCCATGGGCATTATAACGCATGTAACTTACCTGCCGCGTAATAGGCACCCCGTAATCAGCAGCTCCCCATTCTCACATGGACCATACCTGGAGCTTCGGGTCTGGTGTAGCCATGCACCCCTCTCTTGGTAGTGACTTTCCAGGCTCACTGACTATCCCCCAGGTGCTAAAGTAGCGGGGACCCTAAAATGGTTTGTTTTCACTCAGGTAGGAATGACTTTGGATCCCAGCTTATGGTGTGAAAAGAAACAGCTATGGTACCGAGGAAGCTCTTGCTTTATCAGTGCTCGAGTATGCTGTTTTATTGTCAGGAAAAGTATCTGAGTAAAGAATGTGGCCCGATTCACCCCACTCCTAGCCCATGTGCCGTCCACGCCAGAAGGCAGTCTCAGCTACATAGAGAGCTTCCCGCGTCCAGTTTCCAGAGACTTGTGTCCGTGAAGCACTTTATTTTCATCTGTTTTTCAAAAGATGTGAACAAGATTATTATAATATAAAAAACAAGAATGCCTTTTAAAGTGAAAAAAATAAAGTTTCGTAACCTGGGTACTGTAGGGAAAACCAAATACCAGAACGAGCCTTGCGCTCAGCCTGTGCGCCCTGCCCGGCTTGCCTTTGGACTAGACTCCACACCCATTCCCCAACAAATGGCGATTTGTGTGTCGGTCTGCTAATTAGTGTGGCTATTTCCCATTTTGTTGATGAGGCTTAACTAAATGTCAAGGGGACAGCCATGAAGATCTCCCAATTAGGCTCCCCATTTGTAACACCCGGCCCTTCTCCCTTTTGTGTGGAGGTGACAGTTCCGGCGGCAGCGCCAGCCTAACAGGGCTCCAGGGAAGGATCCTCCTCTGGTTTATTGAAAACAGGGCCGGGGAGGCCCCGGGGGGACACAGCCACTGGCCACGCGTGGAGCAGTTTTCATCTTGGCTGCGGACCTGCCGCCTTTCATCAGCTTTGCTTTAGAACAAAATATGGCCGACTCGGTGAATAATGTTTCGACCGGGTCTCTCATCTAAGATGGACTTGTAAAAATTTACTGGAATTTCTAAGAATGAGAAATTCCTTTAAGTAACATGTAAAATTTATATGAATCTAAGGTACTGCTCCATATTAAATTGTATTTGCCATTGTTATTCTAGTAATAACTGTAATGTGTGTACCTGTGTGTCTGCATCACACACACACATGCACCACACACGGACACACGCTCACACACACGTGCACACACATGCACACACACACCACATACACACACATCACACGCGCGTGCACATGCACACACGCACACGCGCACATCACACACATCACACA